GAGAGGGAATGAAGAAAAGAAAGGAGAAAGAAAAGAAAGAGAAAGAAAAGGGAAAACCACACGAATATAGAAAAGAGATTACTGATCATCCTAGACCTCTGAAAGTCCCTATTATTTACTGTGCTTTTATATCCACAATGGAGACACAGAACTCAGGCATAAACCTGCAAAGCCCTGCTTACTAAATAGATGCAGGTAACCAATGTGTTTTCTAATGAGTAAAATAAACTAAATGCAGCAGCTCCACAAGGGAGAAACGTGGCACTTCTCGTATAGACAGAACAGCCACCATTTGAAGCTTCTGCCCTGTGTGTGTGTGTGTGTGTGTGTGTGTGTGTGTGTGTGTATGAGTGTATTGCCTACATGTATGTAAGTGTACCCACAGAGGTCAGAAGAGGGCATGGGATTCCCCTGGAACTAGAGTTACAGACAGTTGTTAGCTGCCATGTGGGTGCTGGGATTCAAATCTGGGTCCTGTAAGAGCAGCCAGTGCTCTTAACCACGGAGCCATGTCTCCAGCCCCTAGCTTCTGCCTTTGCCTTGAGGAAGTAGAGCAAACTGAGAGAAGGACTGGCCCAGAATGCTCAGAAGCCTTCTCTTGTTTTTTTCCCAAGTGAGGCTGAACTCAGTCTTCCTACATGGTAACTAGAATCCATACCCTGGGCCTTTGCTCCCTCGCTTTCCTCGGGTGGAAAGCTCACCTGGGTGGGAGCAAAGGCAAAGCTTTGGTAGCCAGAGCCATCAACTGAGGAGAGCGTTTGCCAACTAATTAGTCCTCACTAATTCTTTTTACCTGGTTCTATGGTAGGTCTACATGGGAGAGGGGGAGGAGTAGGCCCAATACTCACTCTTGTTGCAAACACCTGTGTTAGAGTCTCAGCTTCCGTGTAGCAATTCCAATTTTATGAACCATTATGTTTATATATTTAAATAGAAACAAGACCTGTTATTTAAAAGTCATGGGAATTTCAACTTGCATGAGGCTTGCATAATAAATGATTACAAAGGGAAAAATGTTCAGATCTCAGATTCAAGGTCATTTGCTACAGAAGATGACTGACTTTAAAAGAAAGTCACTGAAGCTTGGAATTCATAACACACACAAGTTCAATCTCAAAATATTACCTGTCCAAAATGCCAACACAAACAGACTCAGGGTTATATAGAACATAAAATTGTGTGTGTGTGTGTGTGTGTGTGTGTGTGTGTGTGTGTGTGTAAAAACTTCCCATCTATGCTCTTACATATATATACTTGTTACTCTCATCAGGAGCAGATCTAGGCACTGTGAAGACCTGTGAGATGTGTAAGCAAGGCTTGCTCGTCGACCTGGATGACTTTAACATGACTGAATTCTACCACAAGCACCAGCAATCCCGGGTAAGACACACTCACAGCCACTTTGTCTCTGGTTTAAAGTAGATTAGAGGGGCTGGAGAGATGCCTTAGTGGTTAAGAGCACTGGCTACTCTTGCAGAGGACCCCGGTTCAGTTTTTAGTACCCACACAGTAGCTAACAACCATCCATAACTCCGGTGCCAGGGGATCTGACACCCTCTTCTGGCCTCTGCAGGCACTGCATACAAATGGTAGACTTACATACATACAGGCAAACACTCATACAATAAAATAAAAATAAATCTTCAATAAAATAAGTTAGAAATACAAGCAGGAAGAAACACACTCTCCTGGTCTAAGGAAGTGGAAAGCCTGTGTGTGACATGAATCTGAGAATGCCTGGCTGACTTCTTTGAGGTCGGTCATTAAATTAGAACACTGGAGGCAGGCAGATCTCTATGAGATCAAGGCCAACCTGGTCTATATAGCAAGTTCTAGGCCAGCTGGGACTATAGGGAGACCCTGTCTCAATAAATAAATAGGAGCACAGGAGAGTTAACTCTTAGGAGGTCTTGATTCCTGGGTTGCCATCTACCTGCTGTCAAGAACAAAAGCAGGGATCTGGAGTGGCCAACTAAAAGCATGCAAATAGCAAGAAAGCCTGGGCTAGTTCCATGTCCAACTTTGCTGAAGTAATTCAACACCAACAAGAGAAAACAATTGAAGGTCTTGGAAGAAATGGTCCCCAACTTAAATACCAAGTAACTCTGGGTAATAAGGCCCTGCTTTACTGTGGGCTTTTTAATACCTGGTGAATTTGGGAAAGGATGAGTGGAGAAAACTCTCCTGGGGCATTTGGATTACATTTCTGAGAACATGAAAATTAATTAACCTCAGGTGGGAAGGTGATTTATGCCCAAGGTAAAAGTTAATCACTTAATTCTCAGGTAAACAATCTCGTATTTAAAACTATACTCTCTAATATAGAAGCCACAAGCCACACATGGCTAATGAGTTGGCTAGCTTTAATCAATACATGTTATAATAAATATGTACCTAATTTCAAATACCTGGTGCAAAAAGAGCCAGTAAAATGCCACAAAATTTCATATTAAATGTATACTGTATTAGTCTATTTTTCAATACTGTAACAAAATGTGAGGCTGGGCAACTTTATAAAGAAAACAGACTTGGGGCTTCAAGAATAGTAGCTATTCATGTTGCTGCCTTCCCCACCACTGCCCCACCGCCCCGCACAGTTTTCTGTAGCTCAGGGTAATACCTGGTAATGGTCTTACCAGCAGATTCATGGTATCACATGACAAGGGAGAGGGAGCACACATGTGCATATGTCTTCCGATCTCTCTCCCTCTTCTTATAAGTCCACTAGAATCCAGTCACAGCCCTTCATTTCGATATCCTTATTCAACCCTATCCCTTCCCAATGGTTCTTTAAACACTAGAGTCAGATTAGCTTTCCACCTTTTTTGAGGATTTTATTATTGCTATTATTATTATTTAGTTAGCATACAGAACAATGGGTTTCACTGTGAGATTCTCATATATATGTATATAAAATCATTGTACTCTGCTCATAGTCACATACACACACACACCCCCTTTCCTCTCTGACCTCTCACTGGTCCTTTCCTCTCCCCAGATAAGATTTCTATCTTCACATTTCACAGTGGTTGTATTAATCAGCCTTCTGTCACTATAATGAAATACCTTGCTCTAGTTTGCTTTCAGTTGCTGTGACAAAACACTCTGACCAATACCAACTTGAAGAAGAAAGGGTTTATTTGGCTTATATCTCCCAGGTCACAGTTGTCAATGAGGGAGCCCAAGGTAGGAAGCCAGTGCATGAACCTGGAGGCAGGAGCTGAAGCACGGGCTGTGGAGGAATGCTGCTTACTGACTTGCTCCCCTGGCCCAAGCTCAGCCCACTTTCTTATACAATAAAGGACCACCTGCCAAGGAGTGGCACCACACACAGTGGGCTGGGCCCTCCCACATCACTCAACAATCAAGAAGATGCCCCACAGACATGGCCACAGGCCAGTCCAGTGGAGGCAACTCCCCAATTGAGGCTCCCTCTACCCAAGTGTGTCAAGTTGACACTAAAGCTACCCAGCACATACCTGAAGTGATTAACTTATAGAGAGAAAGGTTTGCTTTGGCTCGAGGTTCTGGAGGCTACAGTATAAGGCTGAATGGCCCCATTACTTTGGGCCTCTGCTGAGGGCAGCACAACGTGGCAGAAGTGTGTGGTAGAGCTAACTTCTCACTTTAGGAGCCAAGAAGCAGAGAGAAAAGAGAAGAAACTGGCACAAGGTACTTTCAAGAACATGCACTAAGTGACCTCAGGTCCCACCTCCTAACAGCTTCACCACCTCCCAACAGGGCTACCCTGGAGAACAAGCCTCTAACACATGGATCTCTGGGAGCACCACTCATTGAAACCATAGCAATGGGGATTAAAAGTCGGATGAGAACCCATTGGGGAAGCACACAGCTGTCTCCCTACCATAGCACACACATCATATTTCAGAGATGGAATACATGTCCCTGTTCAGCATGGAAGGAACTTGGAAGTCACCACCATCCAGCCACATATAAAACTGAGCAAACAGGAGAGTCAACAGCTCTTCTTAGATCTGTGAGAAAAGTGAGATGACAAGATGAACCAGTGCTGTGGCTCAGAGAGACCCAGTGATGGGTAAAGAACACAACTGACAGATTCGTGTGCAGAACCCCGTGTGGGAACCGTGCTGGGCATAGAGATCTGCACTGTAAGGGGTGTGCAGGCTCAGTGTAGACACATCTTTATGAACTCCAGAGGGACCCCGCTGCTCCCGCATTTTTGTGAATTTTAAATTTAATTTTATTATTATTGTTTGTGTGCTTGCATGACATTGGGGGCTGGGGGTGTGCACATGCCACAGCACACATATGGAAGTCAGCAGACAGTTTTGTGGAGTCAGTTCTCTCTTTCCACCTTTATGTGGGTCCCAGGGGTGGAACTCAGGTCACCAGACTTACATGGCAAGCACCTTTACCCACTGAGCCGTCTTGCTAGCCCCCATTTTTGTGAGTTTTAGCTGTAGGAACTCAGCCAAGTTCTTACAGGGATCAGAGAAAAATACTATGGTACTTCCTGAGTCCCTTTTCTTAACATCTGCCCTTAGAAGAAAACATTTAACCAGAGCCTTACCTAATACCAACTCCAGCCCCCCCCACCACCATCTGCTGAGGGGACGAAAGAGCGTGTATGAAGTTCATGGGCCAGAGGCTGAGCTCCTGACACACTGAGACCTACTCAGAGGAGTGCAGGATGCCTTCTTTCTTACACCTCAAGGCCATAGTACTAAAGGCCTACTGACAGCAGCTCTCACTACCCAGCAGGACATCTCCAGCTATCAAGAAAAAGTTGTGCCAGTGTAGTGGTATCCACCAGTAATCCTAGCACTCCAGAGGCTGAGATAGGAAGATCATCATGAGTTTGAGGCCAGCCTGGGCTACATACTGAATTCTAGACCAGCCTGAGTCACTGTGACACCCTGCTCAAAAGAAAAAGTTATAAGATATACTAAAAATTTTAAAACACCATTTACAGACGCAGAGCAAGCTTGAGAACAGAGGGCAGAGATTATGGAATTACCAGGCCAGGAGTTTAGAGCAACTGTGATTAATCAGCTAAGTGCTTGGAAAAACAGACAGTGTGCAAGACCATTTAACACAGGCAGAGATGGAAATTCTAGGTAAAAGAAATGCTATAGAGGTAAGGGTGCGTAACAGAAGCACGTCTTTGATAGGCTGATTAGTAGACCCAACACAGCTGAGGAAAGCATTTCTGAATTTGAGGAATGCTTTGTCAGAACTGGAAAAGCAAAGAAAAAAAGATACTACAAGAGGGGAGAATGGTATTTAAGAACTTCGAAACAATTATACAAAAACTGTATGTAGGGCTGGAGAGATGGCTCAGTGGGTAAAAACATTTGCCACCTGAGTTTGACCCCTGGGACCCTCATGGAAGGAAAGAACCAACTCCCTCCCACAAGTTGTTGTCTGACTTCCACATGCACAGTATGGTACATACACACGTCATGGTACACACACAAAATAATAATGTAATTTTTTAAGTTATATATTAGTTTCCTGTCCCTATAACAAAATACCTGAGACCATTAACTTATAAAGAGATAAGATTTAGTTGGCTCATAATTTGGAGGTTCCAGTCCTATATAGAGTAAACTCATTGCTTTCGGCTGTTGGAAGGTGCCAGAGACACAGCATGCGTGCGTGCGTGTCACAAGCTCATTTCCTGGCCAGAGGAAAAAGAGAGAGAGAGAGAGAGAGAGAGAGAGAGAGAGAGAGAGAGAGAGAGAGAAGTAGGCCAGACATGGTGGCTCAGGCACTGGGGAGACAAAGTCTGGTGAATCTCTGTGAGTTCCAGGCTAGCCAGGGTTAAATAGTGAGACCTTATATCAAAAAAAAAAAAAAAAAAAGGTGGTGACACATGCTTTAATCCCAGCACTTGGGAGGCAGAGAGGCAGGCAGGTCTCTGTAAGATAAAGGCCAGGTCTACATAGTGAGTTTCAGTCCAGCAGGGGTTACAGGGAGACCCTATCTCGAACAAATAAACAAAAACCACAGAGACAGAAGCAGGTCCCTACAGGCCCTTTGCAGGACACATCCTCCAAGGTCTGAGGATCTCCCACTAGGCCTTGTCATGTTCCCATGGTGTCTCCTGGTGTCTAAGCTCTTAGCACATGGACTCTGGATGTCACCTTGACATCTAAACTCTAGCAGTGTAACATGTACACAATGGAAATGCCAAGGGGGAGGGGAGAGATTGAAGCAATATTGACTGATATGGGAGAGGGAGGGGATGAGAGAGGGAAAGGGTTGAGAATGAATTGTCAAAGAAAATAGGACTGAGAAATTCACCCAACTTAATATTAAACAGCAAAGCAGAAACTTAATAGCACACAAAGCAGGACAGATGCAAGGGGGGCGGAGAGGAAAAGTAAAAGATAAAT